TCACCGCCACCAGCAGTGGTGGGCAATTCCATGACCGTGCGGCCATCCGTGCACAATGTTCGCAACACACTAAAGTGCAGGCTTTTTTTTTTTTTAAAGCTTAAAATGGGCTTTCAGGTGCAGTCCAGTGCAGAGAAAAGCAAACCAGCAGTACTTCTGTCTGGACCAGAACCGGCTGCACTGATGTGAACAGAGCCCAGAAATACCATAGGGATACTTCTTTGGTCCAGGAACAAATTTGTCTGGTCAGGACATTGTGTGAATAAACCCCAAAACCTGCATGTTGGTATTCACACCTAAAAATCTTGGTTTGTTGACCACATGCACATTAACCAATCTGTAAACCACATGAAATGCCTACGATGTCAGCCGTTACTTTCCAGATTGGTATAACACTTACACAAACTACAGCTTCTAACCCAATCCGTTTTAGGGACATGTTTTATGGGAGTGAATTGCCAGTGCATCACCTACATCAGACTGTTCTGTTAAATGTGCATGAAGGGTAATGTAGCCATAAAAAGGTCTGGGTACATTTTGCTGCAATCAGTTCTACATTACTGTATGCAGGTCACACATTTCCTATTGAAGCCATTTCTCCCAACAGCCGGGTGCAGTAAAAAGGGTGGCAAAAGTGCTGTAAAGTGTGAAGACTGCTTTAAATATTCATGAAGGTAACCTAAAGCCATGTGAACTCCTTTACACCTTTCCTCTGTGTTCCTGCCAAGTCTGAATGTTTATTAAAATCAATGTAGAAAGAAAAAAAAAAAAGAAAAAAGGCAATCACAATGATCACTAAAGTTAGCCATCTCTGGCAAGGAATTCAATGACACAATAGTTAATACATCTTTATACATCTTAAAATAAGTGTGCCTTTAAAAGAAGACTTACAAAAAAATAAATTGCCATTGTTCACCTAGCCTAACCTGTTATGCAACTTTTTTGTCAAGCAATTTAAGGAGAACTATGAGGTGAGCGATTTTCACTCAGCCTCATAATCTGAGCCGACATGTGACCATAAAACTGTAGAGAGCCGTGACTGTCACTCACGGGGCCCTGCAGGGATTCCCCCCTCCCCTGTCCGATCCTCCAGCGCTGACTGGCGGAACGGACGGGGGAGGGGGCGGGTACAGCTGACTCTGCCTCTGGATAGGCAGAGCCAGCTGTCACTCACGCAGCTGGGCGGATCCCAACATAATTGTCAGGATCCGTTCGAGCTGCGGCGTCTCAGTATACTGCGAGGCGTATCGAATATGCGCGTTTTTGCGCGTCTCGTGCCACGCGTTTACCGCGATTCGCTGTAAAAAACGTGCAACAAACATGCGTTTCCAAGGGCTACCAGGCTGTATCCCAATGGATACGCGCGGCAAATACACCCCAAAGAAGCTCCTGTACTTTGGGTGCAGGGCGTTTTGCTGCGTGTTCCTACGCGCTGTAAAACACCCAGGTGGGAACCATGCCCATAGGCAATTATTGGTTTTCACATGGTGAGCGTTTTACAGAGCGTAGGAACGCGCTGTAAAACGCCCAGGTGTGAACCAGGCCTTAGGGTGACGGGAGAACGCTAGTTTGTGTCCTCCCGTTACCCTTAGGAGAACTATGGGGAAAAGCCCTAACCCCATAGTTCTCCTTTAAAAGAGGCAGGGCATCCATCATTTCAAATATTGCATGTGCCAACTTCGAATGCAAACACTGAAACACTTACTAAAAGGCTACCATGCAGGAGAGGATCCTTGCACAATCCTAAAATACATACATATAAAATCCACCATCTACAGGCCTTAAAGACACTGTTGCCAGACCACTCACTTCAGCAAATATTCCCATAAGATTATATGTGCAGTTAACATATTTAAAGGCCATATTTATGCAGATATCTAAAAGCCCCAAACTGCTGCTGGGTGCTGCCATCTTCTATGTGATATACACAACCCCAGCAGACTTGACATTTTATAGCAAGTCTTGGCCGCCCAGCTGTGGTGAAACTACAAATCCCATCATGCCTCCACAAGTCAAGCCTGTGGCGGTCAGACTTTTTAATGTCTCAAGTTACTTGTACTTCCAGAACAGCAATGTGTTTTTTTTCAATAATCGATTATGTTGATTAGTTGTTGCAGCCCTAAAAGCTGCCATATCCAAGGACTGGTAAACTGCAATAAATTAAGGGCTTAATGACACCAAGTCCAGAGCAAAAAAAATAAAAAATGTATCCATAATGGTATTTTTGGGCCCTGTTCTCACAGCAGCTCAGTCTATTCCGGTCCAGACAAGTAATAAATAAAAATATACTGCTATTCTCATTATCTGTGGTCGGGAATACAGTGGAATAAAAAAAAAAAAAAAATGCACTGTAACACACCTAAGCCATTTTTTTTTGCTTACAAAAGTACCACACACACTTTCAGCCAGTTGTTGGAATTGTCCAAAATTCACACAGTGGGTGCTACTGTCAGAAAAATTCTTAGCCAAACAGAACGAGCAACCAATGACCTACAACCAATGACCTACTGCAGAGGATGTCCAACCTCCGGCCCTCCAGCTGTGGTGGAACTACGAATCCCATGAAGCATCTCTCTCAGGGAGTCATGTCTGTGAGAAGCTTGCAAAGCCTCATGGGATTCATAGTTCCACCACAGCTGGAGGGCCACAGTTTGGACATCCCTGACCTACTGGCGCTGTTCGGGGATTCCGAGGCCACGGTCACACCGTGACGGTTCGGCCGCGCAGATCCACCAACAAACAATCCCATACATTGCTATGGGGACAGTTCGTGCGACCGCAAGATAAGATTTACAAAAAAATAAAAATTTAGTATAAATTCACTATACTGAATGAGGAGCAAGTTTATTCTGCAAAAGAAAAATTCAGAGTAAGACAACTACAAGCCTGAGCAGGGGGCAAGGTGGTTCCCATGCATCTTCTACAGTGTTTACAAGGGGGTCTTACTACCCTAGACTCCAGTTGCAGCACAAGAGCCAGAAACTCAATACATCAAGGCCAAAAAGCAAAATACAGGCACGTATGCATCCATGGACAAGTTACAGGTTGCCCTTAAACCTCCTGGAATGTGTGAGTACATGTGCAAGTATCCCAGGAGGCATGTCATTCACACCATGGTGAGAATACAGGAAGTCAAAGTTTGGGTGAATCAAAGATAAAACATTTAACGAATTATATAAAAAAGGGGGAGGAGGGGGCTGGCAAGAGTAAAGCTGGCTATACACCAATAACGTTCCTAAAGAGTTCTGGTTGTTAATGGGGTCAAATTAGTGATTGTTTTCAACTGCAGTGATGGGGGGAGGGGGGGCCCTTAAGGAGCAGGACAGAAATATTCTCAAATGAAATTTCTAACAGTGAATGTGGCTTTTATTCCCAATACTCTGTTATAAGAATCAGGCAGTCAAGTCTCTGATAGCATTATGAAATGCTCCAACCAGTTTTCTCGTATGAAAATCTACCAGTGTATGGCCAGCTTTATATTATGCAAAGTGGGCGAACATGGGAGGTTTGCTCTTACAATCTTTAGATTCATTGAATGGAGATCTGGAGAGGACGTAAGCAAAAGTTTTGTTTTGGTCTCGTTTGAAATCCCAACCCATTCTCAGTTGTGCTGCTCCCCACTTTCTAGTCATAGAATCTCCTTTAGATCTACCTTCAAATAGATAAAACAAGGGCCTACCTGATCTGATACTAATGCAAAGGATGGTTTAGTTGTGCCCTCACAGTCTAGGGCTTGTTCACACGACATCCGGATTCTGTCCAGAACAGTTCGCTCCTGCACTAAAAATGCATCCCAATGTATCCCTATGTGTTTTATGGGCTACAGTTCTCACCAGCACAGTCCGTTCAGGAAAAAAATACGAACATCACATTTTCTGCGGTCTGGAAACGCACGAACGCGTCAAAAACACAACGAAAATGCGCACTGCAGTTAACAGCCGACAGCTCTACTCCACAAAAAAAAAACCTGGAACATGTCAGGAACGCATTAAAAACACAAACACACTGCAAGCATCACCGCGTCTGCAGATCTGCCACAGAAAATGGTGTGAGCTCACCACTGCGCAAAAGTTTTACAGCCAGATGGTGACATATATGGAGACCTGAAAAGGAGATTGTATTAGTGTATGGTCAGCTAAACATTTCTTAGGATCCACTCACTATGTACGATTAGATGCCTTTGTAAGCATTTAATACCCTTTGTAAACATACATCTAACGAATTGCAAAGGGTATGTTTAGATGCTTTTATCTGAGGTGTCACACAAATTTGTTTTTTTCCCTGCATGAGAGTAGAACACAAGTGTGAATGAAGCCAAATCATTATTCCCCTCCCCAGTTTTGGACACAGTAGGAAGGGCTAACACCACTATCAGTCGTTTTCATCATCTGGGTCTCATCAGGGAGGGTTCCCCTCACTTCGTGTCTTATAGAAAAATGAGAGAATCTTTCCAAAGTGAGGAAAATCCCATCGGACAGTTGGCACAGGAACAAGAAAGGTTTCCCCTCTAATCTGGTGGCAATTTAAGAAAGGAGAAGACTGGTCTAGCACCCAGGCAGGACAGAGGATCGGCTGAGTTTATTTTTGTTGTTTCTGACAAGCAGTTAACCTCAGTGCAGGGGTTAAATGCAATCCATCCTGTAGTGCTGTCCACTGCTGATCAGGACAATTCGAGAAGGTGTAGGGAGGATGGGGATAGGCAGCAATACTCCATCCAAACATTAAAAAGGGAGGTTTTTGTTGTTGTTTAGTTCAAGGCGAGGCATAGAAGTGGAATTGTGGTATCAATACTTCTCCCGTTCATCACAGGGAATATAGGACTGTAGAGTGTATGGGGAGTATGTACGAGTGGCGTACACATGCAAAGTTCTCCCACTAGCCGGGCCGTCAGCTGTAATAGTGCTGAGCTCAGCCATCATCATGGGTTGGGAGAGCTCGGCTTGTCGGAGATATGTGGAGACAGCCCGCCCGCTCCACCCTCCCTCGCCTCTTCCACTTACTTTTGTGTTTGCTGCCGCTCCACGATTGCTTGGCTAGACTGGGGCTCCTGATGATCGCCCGTCCCGCAGACTTTAGTGCATCCATCGTCCCCACGTACCCCCCAACTCCAACTTTCCAAGTCCACCAAACTTTCCCCTTTACCCCTCCCACCCGATTTGGTTGAGAAGTCGATGAATGATCACGTCTGTACGGGGCGGTGATATTTAATGTTAATGTGGTCACCTGACATGGCTGGGGCACGCCCCCTTCTATTAGTTCGCTGCCCTGTGCTCTGCCCTCAGAGACTTATGCTTAAACTTCAGTAGCTCCCCTGTCACACAGAACCTATCAACATTGGAGCAGACATAACCTGATGCAATTGCCCATGGCAACCAAACAGTTTCAGCCTTTCATTTTCCAAACTTAATTGAACAAACTGAAGAGAGAAGCTGATTCTGTCTGCTCCAGTTTTGATAAATCCCCCTGAGGTGGTTGCCTCAAGCGGCATCTCATTGGGTCACGTGGGGGGGGTGGCAGCCCCATCTGCCAGAGCATCCCAGGTTGCTGAGAGCTCTTAGAAACCTTTGACACTCTATGCGGCAGATTGATAAATCCCCCACTCTGAGTTGTTTCTGTTTCAGCTGTCATCACTATAGATGCTGACCTCTTCCTGAAAAAGCTAGCTGAATGGTTATTAGGCTCCTCCACTGGCTTCAATAATAAGCACATTGAGATCAGGGAAGTTTCTGGCCGATGGTCATTTATTTTTTTACATCATAGTTTGAATGGTTAGTTTAGGGTGCAGCTTTTATACATTTTGTAATAATAATACCCCACACACATCTGTAATACATTGGTGTGCTGCGTTGTGCAGCTATGTTACACACTTAGGGTATGCATTTTTTGTTTTTGTCAATTACATGATAGGTTATCACATGATGTAGTGTGAGGCAACGCACATGCCATGGCTAGGTGCATCAGGGTTCCTTTAAAAGCAGTGCAGCTCAACTAAAATTGCAACATGTGACCTCATGTGATGTAGATCTACACACGCTCCCACATTGCAGAAATGTATAAAAATACATATAAAACCACAATACAGTTACATAGTATTTGAGGTTGAGTAAAGACACAGGTCCATCAAGTTCAACCTATTGCGTGTATGTATGGGATTCTGCATGTGTATGCGTGTGAGTCCCTGCGTGATCTTGTTTTAATGGTACCTGCACCCCTGTATGTTACGTTTTCTGAGGAAGTTGTCCAAAATCTTTTTGAATAATTCAACACTCTCAGTTGATACCACTGCTTGTGGTAGTGAGTTCCAGACCCTAACCGCTCTAACTGAGAACCCCCTTCGCCCCTTGTGCTGAAATCTTTTCTCCACCAATTTTAGGTGGTGGCCTCTATTCTTTGTTATGGAGTTAACCGTAAAGAGTTTGTTGCTGATGTTACGATGACCATTGAACATCTTGTACATCAGAATCATACCCCCCCCTTAATCTCCTCACTTCCAGCCAGGGGCGTCCCGAGGCTGGGTGACACCCGGAGCAGTAACCGAGTGTCACCCCGCCAAGACATCACTGCACATGCGCGTGACGTCACTGCGCATGCGGGCTGAATGCAGTCCTCTATAAACAGTCTCCTTACTCATTCCTGTGGCTGTCTCTTTATGCTCTTTCCTCTTTATTCTCCCTCCCCCCCAAATAAAAAATTGCCGGGCATGGCGCTAGAGTATTCGGGTTTCCCTTAAGGATGGCAACCCTACTGAGGTGGTTGCCTCAGGCGGCATACCCATTTGGGGGTTGCCAGGTGGTGGTGGTGGGGGGTGATTACAGCTTTCCAGGTTGCTAAAAGCTCTTAGCAACATTTGACGCCCTATGCGCCTTCCTGCCCAGCTCACTGACATCACTAGTTGCCAGGAGCTGCATCCTGCCAAGCTCCCTGCAACCACTGATGTCAATTAGCTGGGTGGGACACCAGACAGAGCTGCTGACAGCGCAGTCCAGCGCCCCCCTTCCACCCCCCCACGAACGACAACTCAGCACAACAACTGCATTCTTCCTCCCCCGTGACCATTCCCTGCCAGCCCCCAGGGAACGACAGCACATCATCTCAGTCAGCAAATACCTTAGGGACAGTCTTGTGCAAGTATACACTCAGCAGTGTCTACCAGCATACAGCCACAGCCTATCATTGACTTTTACAGGCGGGCTGTATGCAACACCTGTGACTTCTGGGTGCAGAGATACAGACATTTTTTTTACAGTGTACAGACTGCTGGAGCTCACCTACGTCCACAAGGTTTCTTTTAAATATCCTGTTTTACTTTCAGTGCTCAACAAAACCAGTTATTCTTTCATAAGAGGTTGAGCCTACTGTACCATAGTGCACTGACTGGAAGAGCATTCTAGTACTTGTAGTGCCTACAAATTTAAAAAAAAAAAAAAAAAAAAAAAAATCAAGTTGGTATTAATAATGCAGTAAAACATTTCCTATTCTGTTAAATGTGTGACCACAAGCGTACCTCAAGCAATGCATTTAACTTATTATAGAGCTCACTAATCATTCTGGGCAATATCACAGGGAATATTTACAACCACTTACACAAATTAATTACTACTTAATAAACATTTACAGACAGCAGATTTAAGATTTGAAAAATAAGATTTTGTACTTACCCTAATTATTTTTAATTGAGATCAATTGACGGATATAGGAATTTAGGAATTCTGAAACAGTCAGGATACATGCTGCCACCTACTGGAGGTTTGGACACTGGCAAACAGAAAAAAAACAATGAACTTCAGCCCTCGTATGACCCCTCCACTACCCAGCATGCCTCAGTTCTGTGTAAGCAGTACATACTGCCAATATGTTAGGAGCATGTCAAATGGTCCTATCCCTGTCGCACCCACTCAGCTCCATCTGGTGGTTGCCTCTTGTAATTGCACCTACCACAGTCCAGTCAGCTGCAAGCTGATCAGGCTAATCAGCCTGGCTACACGCCCCATACAGCCTGGGCGTTGGTTAGTTGTGCTCTATTTAACCCCTTCGTGACGGGAGACGTACACTGTACGTTCCGCCACAAAGGGACCAAATGACTCGTCATGTACACTGTACGTGACGAGTTATTTGCTGCACTAGAAAGCTGGTAACCGCTGAGAATCAGCGGTTACCATTCATTAATGTATGCCTCAGTATAGAGGCATCCATTAATGAAAGGGTTAACCTTTTTCAGACACCCGATACCTTAATATCGGGTGTCTGAGAGTCAAAGCAGAGCGGGCACACATGCCAGCTTTTGCCGGCATTCTGACAGCTCGTATAGATCGAGAGATATCTCTCTCAAGCTATACTGGCTTTTTTTTTTTTTTTTCCTTTCACTTTCAGGAATAGATACATAATGTATCTATTCCTGAAAGAAGAATGTTTCAGTTTTCTGATCGTTGTAGGAACGTTCAAGAAAACCTTTAATTAGTGACAGCTGAATCCTGAACTGCTGCAGGATCAGTGTCACTAACTTATTATCGGTTGTTCTGAAGTTTGAAGCAGCCTGATAATAACCAAAAATGTATTAATTTATCAAGCAGTAATAGTGAGATTAATTCACAATGACTGCTTGATATAATTAAATCAAATACAATTTTTACGGTTCAAAAAAATATTGAAAAGTGTAAAAAAATAAATAAAAAAAGTGTAAAAAAAATACAAAATAAGGGACAAATAAATGAATGTATTTATTGCATTTTTTTTTAGCTGTGCTGGTTTTGTAAAAAATACTACAAATCAAAACTGGGAAAAAAGTGTTTTTTTTAAACAGTTTTTTCCTCTTTTTTTATATTTTATTTGTCCTAAGTGAGGCGTTAGACACACATATGTGATATAAATATGTAGCCCTATCTGTCCTCTAAAAAACAATATATAATATGTGTGGGTGCACTTTGTAAGAAAGTATATTACTGACGTGGAAGAATCACACAGCAAAAATGTCAAAAGTGTGTCAGTCATTTACGAACAGAAACTAAAAACAAGCTCAGTCATGAAGGGGTTAAGCATCACAATCCCAGTGCTCTGGGCTTGTGATAGTTCTAGCCGTGTCTTGTCTTTGCTCTGGCTACACAAGCCTGGATCCCGACCCTGAATCCCAGTCCTTCCTAGATCTTAGTCTTGGCTTGGCTCGGCTCTTTAATCCTATACCTTTCTTGTATTTATCCTGTATTAGTTCCTGTCTTGTATTTGTTTCCTGTTCCTGTCTGGTACCTTGACATCAGTCAGCCTGTGGCATCACCTGATCAGAGCAAATAGTTTAAGTCCTGGGGGCATTCAAGTACTGGTAGCTTGCCTTATGGGAACGAAGGCCGCTAAAGATGAAACAACTAGTTGCTATTGGCTCTGACAGCGTGCATCCACAGCTGATCTTGACACAATAAAGACAGAGGGGTGAAACCTCTTTCCTGCTATGGACGTAAGCAAAAGGATTTTACAGTAAGTACCAAAATCATATTTTCCTTATCGTCCATTGAGGCACAGATGAATTCAGGAATTTAAAAAACAGTTGGGATGTCCACATGTGTTCCAGCTGAGGTGTGGCCAATAGCCACTGACTATTCTAAGATAGAACCAGGAGCCACCTGCAATAACCAGAAGGACCAATGCCCAATTCTGAATCAGAAGAGGTAACGGTCCCTATAGTACAGGGAATCTACTAACAACCCAGAGGAGGTCCCAGAGGATCAACCTGATGCTCAAACCAGGACAAGGATCACTGCCAAAGGGAATTAATTCCTCAAAGGATACAGTCTGCACCAACAGAAGCTGTGAGCCAAAGCAACTACCCGATTGGGGAGAACAGACCAGCAATAAAAGGGAAAACTTTTCCCAGCCTGAAAACAGACTCCTAAGGGAAGGATGGACAACAGGTCCACAAAGAAGAACCAGCTGGTTTAAGGATGACAAAAGGCCCAAACTTTAAACGTACAATTTAAGGCATCAGGGAAGAAAGGCTCCTAGGAGTAGTGATGTCTGGGTACCCCTTCCAGTCTCATAGGAGATACTGTAGACAAGATAGAGAACTATCTGGTATAGTGTCCTGTCACAATATCCAGGAATCCGTGCCTGGTTTTGCCTTTGGTCCCTGGTGCTTGGCTGTCAGC